GTTCATATTCAATTTGGTTTAGAAACAGAGGAAACATGGAAATTTGGATGTAAATACGCATTTACTTTTGGGCTGATATCGCAGAAAGATGGTCTGATCAAAATGGCGCACATAGAAGTGTAGGATACAGATTTGTGTATTTTGGAAACCATGTATGTTGGATGTGTCTCTATCGATATCCGGAAAAGAAAAGGGAGGTTTTTGTTTGATGTATGTAAGAGTTCATAAAGCTGATGGCTGAAAAAGATTAAAATAGATTAGAAGTGGGTTGTGCAAATAATAGGGTCCCTCAGCAATGTTGGTCGTCATTGTATTATTCAATCCTTGCTCCACTGAAACTTTTTCCTTCACCATTAGAAGTTCTTCAATCATGCCAAGTTCCTACTTGACTCTCCTTGAATTTGGCATTCATACCCTACCTCGGCGAACTGAGTATTAACTGGTGCACCAAGTAGTTGAGCCATTTGGTTGACGGTGTGGATTTTAAGGGAGTGTATAGAGGGGCATGAGAGGGAGTTCGTTTAAAGCATTTCTACTTGGTAGAAGTTTGCTATTAGTATGCCTTGTTAAAGGGAGAATCTTGAATGATTATGAATGTATGAATTACTGACTGGTATTTTATGGCTTTAAAATTTTACCTTTTCACTTCAGCCTTGAGATATTAACTACAAAAATTTTGTACAACCATTAAGTTTGTTTTGTGTTATGTTTGAATGTTTGTCTTTTGTATAAAAGAGAGTGATCGTTGTCGGCTTTGAGAACTGCATTTGCGGTACGCTGGCTTCAGGTGATCTATAAATGTTCTGTATGTCTGGGAGTGCAATGGAGAGATTTGTTAATTCTATAATTTACCCGACTTTGCTTCTATCCTGTTGGCTGTGTCCAAGTAGACATCTTTTTCATTCTGGTGTTATCTTCCTTTTTACTGTTAACATGCCACGTCTTTAACAAAGTTGCATAAGTTTGCTTATAGTTGTTTTTTGGTTTACAATATTAGGTCTGGAGACAACGCAACCGATGCCTGCAAGCGCGACTATGTTACTAGTCTGACATAAGTTGCAGAAGACATACCCTTTGTAATGTATCGTTCGAAATCATGGATCGACATTACGTGAAGTTTGGAATAGGGAATGAAGCCATTGGTCCGTTTAGCATAGGATAAAATTTATTGTAAATTATTTAGGAGATAGAACTATGGTTTTGCTATTATTCGTTCAGTTCTGATTTCAATGCCATTAATTGTTCGTCAAAGAATTCTTTCGCTCCCTAGGCATTGTTTTTGCATGTACACTCCTGTTTGAGTGAGCCTGAATATCCTGAATTAGTATATTTTCTTGGTTAAAGATCGTGCTCTTCTTCGTCATTGTCATCTTTATCACTGTAATGAGCAATTAAGAAAACAGAAAGATGATCAGTTGAATCGATGTCGGCGGTTTGTGGTTAAACAATCTCTTTATAACAACGAACTGTTCTTGAGCGACATAGTTTGATGCTAAAGAGTGACTATACATTTTGATGCTCTATTAGCGTGGTCTGGCCCTCTAATTTTCAATTTGTTTTTTTTTATTGCTATTTCAAAAGAAAAGAAATATTTATATTTAGACCGCTTGTATTTTTATTCATAAAATCGATCAGAAGTAGCTTTGAGGCATCGATAATTGCTCATGACAATTTATAAATTTGATTGAGTGGATATGGTTGGTGGATTTCAACATAGCGCCTGTAGCTCAGTGGATAGAGCGTCTGTTTCCTAAGCCGAAAATCGTAGGTTAATTTTTCATTTTTAAAACGATGGTCTAGGCAGCTCTTAAAATACAAACAAGCGCCAAGATCAAAGAACCACCGTTAACAGTATAACACTCATTGATATCTTGGACTTGAACTCATAAGATTCTCAATTTCATCCTATAACTTTAAAAAATTGTTTATTTACACCCAAATTTCACAGCTTAAGTGTTTTTATAAAATTGAGTTTAAGAGTTTGGTGTTAAAAATACTTTTGAAAAGATAAAATGTCAATTTTATACATGATATTCAAAATTAAAGATATGTTAAGTCGAGTGATATCTAGATTGGTTGTCCCTTGTTCCCATATGAAATGGGGTAAGGAGGAGGTAAGATAGTAGGCTGCTCCCAACACTAAGTTGAGAGCAGCTTCCGTGGGAAACCTCCAAATTATGAAATACCCTCCATGAGACTCGATCCCATGACCTCAAGGTTAAGAACATTGTGCTCTACCTAACAAAAATATAAAAAAAATTATGACAATTCATTAATAATTTTTAAATATATAAAATATAAATTTTAAATATTTATGTGATTAATATGAATTGTTGACTTAAATGAAAAATTAGTCTCTAAATTATATATATTTTTTGTTCGAGTGTAATATGTCTAAATATTTCAGGTAATTAGTGTCTTGGACTATAAATTATGCTTGCACAATATTTGATCCTAACAAATTATCAATAATTATTAACACTGATATAAATTAGTTCTTTTTTTAAGCTGAAATTGTTTGTAAACTTTAATTTAAATATATAAAAGATATAAATTCTTTTCCTCTAATAGGTGATTAATTTAGTTATTATTATATCTTTAAATTGCTCTTTAATTGTTAGTTTTTGTGATTGATTTATTCATTTGATTCATTTTCTGTACAAGACATTAGATTCTGAAGGACGCGTAACCAAGCCAACCAAGGTGTTCATCCGCTGCTCAACCTTGGAGGACGCCATCGCCATGCCGCTCTGACCTTTGTGACCGTTCCAACCGATTCATACTCGTTGCCCGCCCCACCTCCTCCTCGTCGTGGTGGCCGACGGCCGCAAGACTCTCCACCGAGAACTCCAACGCCTACGAACGAACCCACCGTCGCTCTTCTATTCACCGGCCAAATCGCCTTCTCTTATCATCATACTGCCGGTCCAAGCAATCCACGACATCCCAGACCTTCATTATCGGCCACCCCGACGTTATACTCTATGCCATCGGGTTCCATTTCCCAGTCGATGCCAGATGTCGCGCCACCATCGTCTGTTGTCCCTGAACAACCCGAGGTAAACTCTACACCTTTGGAAATTGAACCTTTACTGATGTGGCACCCTGCTTTTGGTTTTACAGCTGATGTGGCACCATGCCTTTGGTTTTACAGAGGACTTTAAACAAGGTTTTCCCATTCCGAAGGGTACTGTCGTTGTTTCCTCTTCTCATCAGCATGCTGAGCCATCACCATCTCCTTCATTTGTTGCAAGCTTTGCAACCGATTCTGGTGAGCATTCTGCTCACGGGGGTGATGCTGATAATGACGGTTCTTTAGAAAGACACCGTCTTTTTGGTCAATCAAGGTGTCTAACGTTACAAACATTACCATTTTAAGTACATCGATTGTAACACTATTAAAATCTTATGTTAAATAACACGTGTTGCATTTATATAATTTTAAAAAAAATCATTTAAAATAAAAAAATTAAAATTATATTTAAAAAAACTTGAAATTTTCGAAAATTAAAAAGAAAACCCAAAATTTTGAAAACCCTTGTTTCAATCCATATGCTTACGCATGCCGTTGTCTTTTGCCGCGAATATTGTCGGCCAAGCAACGAAAGCGAAAAAGAAAACCCCAAGATCAGTGGTGAAAGATACCATGATAGAATGGTAGTTTAACGTAGAGAGATACACAGGAAAACTTGCTTGCATTATTACTGAAGTACACACAACTTTATATACACTGTATGAGCAATTAGCTCTAACAACTCTACTAAGCGATTAACAACTAATCCACACAGCTAATGCCACGTGCATGGCATAGTTACAAACCCGTTACAATCAGCTACACACTCACACTTATTAGTTCTGTTATACTGCTAACACGTACCTCTCCTTGTCTGCCAAAGATTTGCCACAAGCCTTTCCAATGCTGCTCCGGTGGTAAGTTGTCCACGAATAGCGAAACTAATCTCTCCATCGATTAAAGGTCCTATGATTTTAGCAGTTGATCCCAAGTATCATCTTTTCCTTGTTACAGTACTTGCATGTTGATCTTGTAACCTCTCTAATCGGCTGCAGTTGGAAATATGGTTAATTGCTTCCCAAGTATTCCTGTGATGTGATTCTGGAGTGTGAACGAATCCTCTTGTTGTTGCCTCGTTTGCAAGAGTTTTGTTACTTCTAGGTTTTGAAACCGGCCTCCATGGTTGCTGCAAACCTTCCTATACTCCTCACAGCTCGGCTTCAATCACTGTTCATATGCCAATAAACTTTGTGAAACCCGATATCCTGGTTCCAGAACTTCCTCGAATAACACCCCCGCATGATGCGAGGCCTTCATTGCTCATCCGTTCTCCGTCCGTGTTGATTTTGATCAATCACTGTGGTAGTTGCGACCACTTTGTTAGCACCTGGTTCCCACTAGCTTTCTTGCAGGTGTTGTTTCCTGTCCTTTGCATCACTGTCGTGCAGTCATTTTGAAGTCTTCGGCTATGCTCCATGATTGTTTCGTTAAATAAAAGGTAGGATGTTGATAGTTAAGCCGAAAGGATTGTCTATAATAAAGAGGATGTTGATAGAATTAATCACTACTAACTTATATTGAAATTTAATGAAATTGAAACTTTAAAGATAAAATAATATAAATTTAATGTTTTATCACTTAAATTTATCATCAAAAAACATATTGAATCTTCTTTCCACGAAGTTACAATTCTATAATAAGTTTGTTTAATGGTAACCAATTTGTGTTTCACTAAAATTAATGAATCACATACTCATTATTTTAAGGAGATATGTACATAAAATAATTATTTAATAGTTGCCAAACCTAAACAAATAATTGACTTTGCTGCACACATTCATGAGTTGAACTGTTTACAATTAGAGTTTCGAATAAATTCCATCCCTAACTAGCTTCTTTATAATTAATTAATTAATTAATAATTATTGAGATTGGGATGGTAGAATTATATTTTAATTCCATATTTATCTGGTAATAATCATTTCAAACTGTTCTTCAATACGCTTATAAATACTACATTATCTCTTAGAAGAATATTGTGCAGTGCTCAGTATTATCGTTCTCCATGAAGACTACTATCGCTTGTTTCTTTCTTCTCTTGATTCTCGTTCCTCTCTTGGGCACTTCTGTTGACAAAAAAGTACTTTAAGTTTTTATCGTGACTTCTTCGTTTTTTACTTATTCGTTTTCAGAATTCTGACGTAAAGTTCTCTTATTTGTTGCCTGTGTAGGTGTATATTGTTTACTTCGGCCAACATGTCAATGGGGAGAAAGCTTTGCATGAGATTGAGAAATTTCATCTTTCGTATTTACATTCAGTGAAAGAATCCGAAGAAGATGCTAGATCTTCTCTTCTATACAGCTACAAACACAGTATCAATGGCTTTGCTGCAAAGCTTACACCAGATGAAGTCTCTAAGCTCTCTGGTAAACTGATTAGTTACATATTTCTTTCTCTATATTTCATAATTTAATATCTAAGAATGTTTTAATTCATGGGTTTTGTTTGTTTGGTTATTATTTTCTTTACAGAAAAGGAGGAGGTTTTATCAGTGTTTCCTTCACACGGAATGTACTCGGGGCATACATCAAGGTCATGGGAATTCGTAGGGCTAGATGAAGAAGATGGTTATTCATCGAGAAAGCTTAAGAATGGAGGAGAAAACTTGGCGTTAAGAGCTAAATATGGCAAAGATGTCATTATAGGAGTAATGGATAGCGGTAATTTTTCATATGAATTAGAATACTCACTTTTTCAATCACCCACGTGACTATAACTTTACCGTAAATAAATTCATTACCAATATGTTTAGGTGTATGGCCGGAATCACCAAGCTTCAGCGACCAAGGAATGGATCCAATCCCGAAATCATGGAGAGGAATCTGCCAAGAAGGTGTCGCTTTCAACTCATCCAATTGCAACAGGTCACTATATCTTTATCTCTAAATCCAATAATTCATTTATTCGTGTTATATTTATTTACTTTTTTTTATAAATTTTAATATATTAATTTATGCGTTATATTTATTCCGGTTGACACAGGAAGATAATCGGAGCTAGATACTATGTAAAGGGTTTCGAGGCTGAATACGGGACGGTAAATCCGACCGAGGACTTCCTCTCACCTCGAGACGCTGATGGCCATGGAACTCACACTGCATCCACAGCGGCAGGCCGACAAGTTTCTGACGCTGCCGCTTTAGGTGGGTTTGCAAAAGGAACGGCTTCGGGTGGGGCTCCTTTGGCTCGCCTTTCCATATACAAGGCCTGCTGGGCAATCCCTAACGAACCCAAGGCCGATGGGAACACTTGTTTCAATTCCGATATGCTTGCAGCTTTGGATGATGCCATAGCTGATGGTGTTGACATAATTAGCGTCTCCATTGGAACGGATGAACCTTTATCTTTTGAAAATGATGTGATCGGTCTCGCTGCCTTAGAGGCTTCCAAGCGCAACATCCTCGTCGTATGCAGTGCTGGGAACAGTGGTCCTGACCCCGGGACATTGTCGAACCCTGCTCCGTGGATAATCACGGTTGGTGCTAGCAGTGTCGACCGGGCATTTTCCGCATCTGTTAAGCTACGCAATGGATTGAGTCTTCAAGTAAGATACCATCGGATCATACATTGAAATCATTATAGTTTTCATTTTCAAGACATAATGATTAACATTTCTGAATTATGGTTTAATTTAATAGGGACCAAGTATTACGCCAAACAAGTTGAAGAAGATGTACCCATTAGTTTATGCAGGAGATGTAGTTGACCCTGGTGTGGCGCGAAACCTAACAGGGTAAGTTTCTTTCCCTTTGTTCTATACTTATTTATTTGCACCTTCGGATTGTTAATTATTTCATTTTAGGCAATGCTTTCCTGGTTCACTTGACCCGACCAAGGTGAAAGGGAAGATTGTGGTGTGCATGAGAGGGGACGGTCTGAGAGTAGCTAAAGGCTTGGAAGTGAAAAGAGCTGGAGGTGTAGGTTTTGTCTTAGCCAATGACGAGTTCTATGGAGATGACATGCAATATGACCCTCATTTTCTTCCTGCAACTACTTTGTCCTATGATGATGGGATTAAGATTCTTGAATATATCTATTCTACGAAGAACCCAATGGCAAAGATCAATGCAGGAAAGACAAAATTAAACTACAAGCCAGCCCCCTTCATGGCTGAATTCACCAGTCGAGGTCCAAATGTGGTTGATCCGTATATTCTAAAGGTACTTTGTTTATTTGTTATCTGAGTTAATGTTGCATCAAAGTTTTAGGCTTTGATTGTTTGCCATTTTCTAACTTGATTTGTGATTTCTTGATCTTATATATGATATAGCCTGATATAACGGCACCAGGACATAATATTTTGGCAGCATGGAGTGAAGCATCGTCTCCTACAAAGTTACCGTTGGATCACAGATCAGTGAAATATAACTTGGAGTCCGGAACTTCCATGGCATGCCCTCATATCTCAGGTGCAGCTGCACTTCTCAAGGCCATACACCCCCATTGGAGTGTTGCTGCTATCAAGTCTGCTCTCATGACTACAGGTAATACTTTAAATTTCATTTATAGCTAGATAGCCGGTTGATTTGATCTCATAACTAATAATTGAAAGCATATTTTACTGTCACAGCCGCTATAACCAACAATTTAGGCAATCCAATTACGGATTCCTACGGATATGATGCAAATCCCTTTCAATTCGGTTCAGGCCATTTCCAGCCAACCAAGGCAGTTGATCCTGGACTTATCTATGATGCCACGTACCACGACTACCTGCTCTACCTCTGCGCTGCTGGTCCAGATGCTCTAGTCGAACTCAGCTCTACATTCAAGTGCCCGGCTAACCCGCCTTCAACTCTCACCCTCAATTATCCATCCTTCGCCATTCCCAACCTTAATACCCCCGTCACCGTTACAAGGACAGTCACGAATATCGGGAGACCTAAAAGCACATATCTCTTCTTTGTGGAACCGCCATTAGGTGTTGTTGTAGAGGCGACGCCGAGTATTTTGCGGTTCAAACGAATAGGGGAGAAGCTGAGTTTCAATATTACAGTGTACCCTAGAAATGATCTCTCAGGGGAGAACTCTGAGTATGGGTTTGGTTGGTATAGTTGGGACGATGGGTTGTATCATGTAAGAAGTCCAATGGCAGTTTATTTACCTTAATTTTTATTTGTTTTTAGGTTTTTAGGCCAAGAAATACTAGTATATTTTAGTCCTTAGTTTGAATAAATTTGATTTTGCATGGAGTTTAGGAACACAATCACTGTAAAGATACAATCAATGGAAACCTTAGCTTCCATTTATCAAATGCTATCATTGAAAATATTAAGAAATATTTTGGAATCAAATTTATGAGTCGGTCACCATATTTTAATATATTTTCATATAAACAAATGATTTATTAAGATTTGTCACTCTTAGCTAATAGCTAAATATAACGTTATTCATTTCAATTTGAAGTATTGATAAAAAAATCTGTATATCCAATGAGTATTAAGTCTTCTCTCCAGGATATACAAGCATATAACCATTGAACGATGATAGGGAAGCCTTTCCTATCCAAGCATATTATCAATCACACTTAATGTGAGATTGGTTGAGAGATTTGAGGGAGTGGTTCGAGTAATAATCTTTCTCTGAATGATTTCCCCGTATTAATCTTATAAAAGAGACGCTTCTCCTCCCTATTTTAACTATTTATTCTTGCGGGGCGATTGATGATTTTCTTAATTTCTCTATAGGGGGCTGATTGATGAAATGGTTCACAAAATTAAAACCATGGAAGGTATTCTTTTATAAGAGAGCAAAAGAACTTGGATCTTATGTTACGTGTGTTAATTGGTTTCTGTTATGTCCAGTCCTTTAATATTGGAAAATATCTTATCAAGGTCATTTTGATTGGAGTTTCGATATGAATGGGTGATTTGTTTTTTCTGGTGTTGATCTTTGAGGTGTTGTTGGACATAGTTGTTTGTTTCGGTTCTGGAATACTTCTGCAGTATTAAAGGTTTCGTGAAATTTATTTTTTTATCAATACAGGTGAATTTCTATCAGAATGGCGATATTCTTTCGATTTTTGGCTGGCTGCATGAATTAGATGTTTCTTTACTACTATTTAGACCAATAATTATTTTCAGATAAAAAGTCATATTTAAGTATTACTCGTTCTCGACCTCTTTACTTCACGTGTAGCATTGAAAGGGGGAAGTGATGATGATTTGTCACTCTTGAATGCTTTGAAGGTTGATTTTATGATGCTTGGTTGTGTGTAAGGGTATACACTGGTCGGAGCTATTTCTAGTGAGACGGGTTTGGCGGCTGAATTTACGAGATAATGTTTAAAAAAAAAAATTCACGAGATAACGCGTTCCAACAATTAATTGTTGAGATAGGGTGTTTGCTACAGTTCGAATGAAGGTCGCCGGGTGGTCTGGGCGACCAATGAAGGTCGCCGAGTGTTCTGGGCGGCCAATGAAGGTCGCCAGGTGATCCATGGGAGAAACAATCAAACAATAATTGTTTGGGTTAAATGCAAATTTGGTCCTCACAACTTTACACTCTCATACGTGTGTTTTAATATTTAGGGGATAATAGCATTTTCGGTCCCCTATGCTTTGTAATCTATTTGTTTAATCATTTAGTGACATTTTTAATATTTTGTTTCAGGCATGTATATTTTAGTCACTAGTTGTTTATTCTGTCAAGTTTGTGTATGTTTTATTTTGATCATAATATTTTTAGTTATTTCATTTTAATCACTAATTTCATGTGTTTTATATATTTTCCTTAATTTTCGAAATTGGCCATGAAATTTGTAAACATGTTATTTTGTCATACATGTTTCTTGTTTATCCTATTTTAGTATGTATTTATTTCTCCCTACCAACGATATTATTTCGCAAATTTTTCCAATATAAAATAAAACTAAATAAAACTAAAAAATAGTGAAAAAATACTCGAAATAAATAAACGTAGAACAAATAAAAATTATTGAATACAAAACAAGATATCCCAATAATCAATTTTAAAATAAATACATACTAAAATAGGATAAACAAGAAACATGTATGACTAAATTATAATTGTTTACGACTAAAATAAATACATGTATGAGAGTGCAAAGTTATGAGGACCAAATTTGCATTTAACCCAAACAATTATTGTTTGATTGTTTCTCCCATGGATCACCTGGCGACCTTCATTGGTCGCCCAGAACACCCGGCGACCTTCATTGGTCGCCCAGACCACCCGACGACCTTCATTCGAACTGTAACAAACACCCTATCTCAACAATTAATTATTGAAACGCGTTATCTCGTGAATTTTTTTTTTCTCACAACATTATCTCGTAAATTTAGCCCGGGTTGGCTTTGGCTGATCAAGGACAAACCACGTTGTTGCTAAAAGTACAAACCAAAAAAAGTTAAAATACAAAGGTCCCAGGGAGAGCGGTGACAGCAATAATAATGGTGTTCAGGCGAGACTCTCAACACAATAAGTAGATCCGTTGTTTTCTCCTACAGAGTTGGCTGGTGGGAGAGTGGTGGAACAAACGACTCCCAATAGGTAGGGAAAAGTTATGTTAATCGAGTTAGCTGAGATGGCTACGTCGAAGGAGGCTATCATTTTGGGTCGACCCGGTTATAATAAAGGTCCCAAGGAGGAACCTATTTGGTCCAAGAAAAAATAATCTTGCACGTGAAAACCAACAAGAAGTGGACAGTGCCACTTAAGATATTCATCATCAAATGGGCTTCTCTAACTTAGGTTTATCATTTTTGGATCAAAGCAATGGTCAATTAACACGAGCAGCTGTAAACGTGAAAGGTGTGGGGCTCCAATTGTAAACAAAAATATCAGTCATCTGCCTGAAGAGAACTTCCAACATGAAAAAGAGGAATTGATATTGGCAAAGGTGTTGCACCTGGGAAAAAGATATGGTTCTTTAGTTCATGTTCAAGATAAATTCCTATCCATAGCCGATAGAAAAAAGAGGGACAAGACAATTAAAAACCCAAAAAAAAAAAGGTGGTACAGTGGGAAATTTGAGGTACATGAGTACTCATTATCTTATTCTAACATCAAAAATCGTAAAAGAGTTATTTTTAGAGAATTAAGGAAAGCTTTGGAGTTCCACAAGGAATTAGGTTTTAAGATTGAAGGAGATGAACAGAAATTATTGAAGGAATTTGTTAGGCTAGAAGGGTTGTAGTTGCAATGGGTGCTTAGAGGATAGTAGAACTAACATGAAGATTAAATTAAATATAATTGAAAAACGGAGAATTATTTTTTAAAATTATACCTAACGTTTATTTTAGGTATCATTTTGATACCTGCCGTTAAGAACTTAACGGTGAAGAATTAATTGACACTGATAGTGCTAGATTTTTTTTTATTTTTTTAGTTTTGCAACTTGCTTACCATCAGTATCAATGGCAATAGGGAAGAAGATGCTCAGCAAAGTCAGCACTGAGAAAGAGCATGTCAAATCTTGTAGAGAGGGCCTTCAAAATCTAAAAGCTATCCAAAAATATGCCCACAATTTTGACTAATTAGAGCTGCAAAATGCGGGCATCCAGTTGCATGCCCTCGATATGCCTGTCGAAATGGTCATGCAATGCATATTATAGGTAATGCACCAAAACTAAAGTGGTCATGAACCTATAAAGCAAACAAGAGAATCAACTAATGTCAACAATGAAATTGTGTGGGATAAAGGTTGAAAGGTAGAGCTGGGGAGAACGTGAACAAGGTTGAAAACAAAGAATTACAAGACGAATAGTGTGAAATGGAGATATACTTTAATTGAACATTCTTGTGATAATGAGATGATGCATATATTCTGAACAAATGGATTTGGTTATGCACCACTATTTGCACTGTCAAAGACAGACTTGATGAAAATTTGAGTTCAGATTTGAAACTGAATTAAGTTTTTAATCTCTTTCAGTGTTATACAGCTAACCATTTTAATAAAATGTACATGATAAGTCCGATGGCTTAGATTTAGTTTTATCCTTTCTTTTATTGGTTTTATTGTTTATGTATTGAATCTTTGATTAAAAAATATATATTTTCCTTTAAAAAATCTATTTATTTTCAAAAAAAAAATAACATACAATTTATTTTTTTACAATTTAACAAGATTCATATATTATATATTCGAGAAGTTCTAAATAATTCTCTCTCTGTGGATTGAAACATCCCATTCCATAATTACTTATCCGGTAAACTACACGTTTAGCACCTCAATTATCATTTTTTTTCGTGTTGAACATTTAAATATTTTTTTTCAAAATCATAACATAATGTTACGTTTTGGTTTCATTTTTGGTCACCCGTCGTTAAAAAATTAACACAACTGTTGATGTGGTATTTTTTTTAAATTTTTTTTAATGATGATGTGGCAGTACCTTATGGTTACATGTCAACATCACCGTTAAAGTTTTAATGGTAGGTGACCAAAGTGAAACCAAAACGTAATGTTAGGCATGATTTTGAAATAAAAAAATAGTGGAATGACCAAAATAAACCAAAAGTGATAGTTGAGGTACTAAATATGTAGTTTATCTTACTTATTTTATTATTATATTTTCTTCAATAAAAGGTAGAATGTTGATAGTTAAGCCAAAAGGATTATCTGTAATAAAGAGGATGTTGTTATAATTATTTTATCATTACTTTTTAAATTTAAATTTAATGCAATTAAAACTTCGGAGATAAAATAATTTAAATTTTATGTTTTATCACTTATTTTAATTTATCATGAAATAAATATATTTAATGAACTTCTTTCCATAAAGTTACGATTCTATAAATTTGTCAAATATAATCAGTTTGTGTTTAACTGAAATTAATAAATCACATATTCATTATTTTAAGGAGATATGTACATAAAATAATTATTAAATATGTAAATAGTTGTCAAACCTAAACAAATAGTTGGATTTGCTGCACACATTCATGAGTTGACCGACCTGCTTACAATTAGAGTTGCGAACAAATTCTATCCCTAACTAGCCCCTTTATAATTAATTTTAATTAATTATAATCTATATTGAGATGGTAGAAGTACATTTTAATTCCATATTTATCTGGTAATTATCAGTTGAAACCTTTCTTCAATACGCTTATAAATACTACATTATATCTTGGAAAGATGTTGTGCAG